GTTGTTTTTCTCTCGCTAATTGACGACGTCTGTGAGCATCAATTAGCACATCCAGGTGTGAGCCTTCCGAATCTGACTCATGCTCCTCACACAGCTGAGCTTCATCAGAAACACTACTGGAGGGGCCAGGCTCTTCATCAAGCCGTGAATCCTGTAATTCATCAGAGCCTCCCTCTGACCCTGACGGCCCCTCAAAGGCCTCCTCCACCACCTCCTCAGATTCCTCAGACTCAGCTGTTGGGAACACAGGCTGGCACAGAATCACAACAGTCTTAAGCAGGACCTTTCCCCCCATCCCACTGCTCTGCAAGTCCTGCTAAGTGGCATCACGACAGTCTCCCCAAACCCTCCCCAGATGTCCACGCAGCTCACTTAAACAAGTTCGCTCTGTTATGGGAACCGTCTGCTGTCTTCACACCTGCTAGAAGCCCTTGAGAGTTTTCCAGACTGCCGGCTCTCAGTAAACTTCCGTAGAACAGGAGAAGTTTTGTTTCTCTAACTAACTCAATCGAAAGCAACACCCCCCCACACACACACCCTTACTCTAATGGCAAGATGAAAACAGAGAGGCACATGGCTGCCAACTTTTCACTCTTGACAAGTAGCCCGTGGAACTCACTGGGGTTGAGCTGGTGCGGGCATGGGGAATTGCTGGGGAATACCAATTCAGTCTATTCTCCAAAGCGCCTGAAGGCAGGACAAGAAGCAACGGATGGAAACTAATCAAGGAGAGAAGCAATCTAGAACTAAGGAGAAACTTCCTGACAGTTAGTCAAATTAACCAGTGGAACAACCTGCCTCCAGAAGCGGTGAATGCGCCAACACTGGAGATTTTCCAGAAGAGACTGGGCAACCATCTGTCTGAAATGGTATAGGATTTCCTGCCTGAGTAGGTGGTTGGACTAGATGACCTCCAAGGTCCCTTCCAACTTTATTATTATTATTATTATTATTATTATTATTGTTGTTGTTGTTGTTGTTGTTGTCTCGGAAGCCTTAATAACGACTCCTTTGCACCCATGAGTGGGACCGCACAGGATCTTTGTGAGTACTAACAATATTTACGATGCGGCTAGATTACAGCCTTCGGGACATCTTAGTCCTGAATGTTGCCATGCAGGAAACAAAAATGTGAAGCTGCAAAGAGAAGATAACTGCAGGGGTGTGGAACGTCACAAGCACAAACAGGAAAGTTCAACACACTGAAAGAGGAAATGAATCGATTGCAGACGTCCATCTTAAGCGTTGGCAAATTGAGATGGACTGGAATCGGACCCTTGCATTCAGCAAAGTTTGCTGCCTAGGATGTGAGAAACTGTGACGAAATTGTGTTGTTTTCATACAAGTCGTTGGCCACTTACCACCGTTCATTTAGTGACGGTTCGAAGTTACTGAAAAAAAGGGACCTATGGCCATTTTTCACAGTTACAACCTTCCCAGCGTCCCCATGATCATGTGATCAAAATTCGGACGCTTGGCAAATGACTCATATTTATGACGACTGCACTGGCCCCGGGGTCATGTGATCCCCTTTTTGTGACCTTCTGACGAACAAAGTCAAGGGGGAAGCCAGATTCACTTAACAGCTGGGGCAAGCAAGGTCATAAAATGGGGCCAAACTCACTTAAGAACTGTTTTGCTAGCAATGGAAATTTGGGGTTCAATTGTGGTCATAAAGCGAGGACTACCTGTTATACGAATTCAATACTCTAACCCTTTCACCCAACTCTCAGTACACTTCGGATGGACAAAGACTTTGCTTTTTTAAAATAAAAATAGTTTGGATAGAAAAAAATGAGATCAGCTGCAGCCAGGGTGAAAGCTATCAACTGCCAACTCCTACACCCAGCCTCTTCGCACAGTCCACTGGACTGCCAGCTGGTTCAGCTCAACAATTTGCCAGTGTTATTGGAGGCATACAAAAGAAACCTGGACTTCAGAAATGTTGCATTTAAAAAGCTTTGAAGTGAAAGCATGGGGGGAGGGAGGGAGGGAAGGAAGGAAGGAAGGAAGTTCAATTGTTATTGGAAGGAAGGAAGGAAGGAAGGAAGGAAGGAAGGAAGGAGTAAGTTCAATTGTTATTGGAATTTTAGAATTTATAGACAGGAAGGACGGGCGTACGGAAGGAAGGAAGGAAGGAAGGAAGGAAGGAGTAAGTTCAATTGTTATTGGAATTTTAGAGTTTATAGACAGGAAGGAAGGAAGGAAGGAAGGAAGGAAGGAAGGGCCCATCAAAACACTTGACCAATCCCATGGTCTGCCATTTCTCACCAGATTCAAGCCCTCCACAACTTCTGCAAGAGTTGGGGTCGGCTGCAGAAGAACATGGGGTAGCACAGTGATGGTGAACCTTTTAGAGACCGAGTGCCCAAAAATCGCCCCGTCCCCCGTCCCGCCCCGCTGCTCCGCCCCCGTCCTGCCCAGCCCCACCCACCCCGCCTTGCAGGGTCACCCGCCGCCTTCACGGCTGGCCACAGATCGCCCAGTGGCCCTGCAGCGCCATGGTGGCCACACCTTCCGCCCGCGCCCTGCAGCATCATCTGCACGCGACAGGGCACGAGGGCGGAGTCTTGTCCCTGCTGTATGTGCTTGGCCGTGTGCGGGCCGCACCTAGGGGCGATTCTCCTCCAGGGGGGCTGCTGGTGAGGAGGGGGCCATGGGGGAGGCGGGGCTGGGACAACGGCGTGCGTGCCCACAGAGGGGGCTCCGAGTGCCGCCTCTGGCACGCGTGCCATAGGTTCGCCACCACTGGGGTAGCATCTCCCCTAAGGCGAATCTGATGTAGGACAACTAAGCAAGAGAGCCGGGAGGGAGCAGGCCATACAGTGTTTTCCTAATGCGCAGAATTATTTTGTGTGTGTGTGTTATTCTATTCTTTCTACTTTTGACAAATCTCTCCTGCGCAGCAAAACCACATCCTGGGAACAGGTGGGTGGCCGTTTCAAGCTCCTATGAGCCCAGCCAGCACCCGTTGGCAGCCACCTCGGATTGCTTCGGAATGGCAGCACACGGAGAACGTGCGCCCAAGCTATAAATCAGGGCAATTAATTTCTTCCTGGTTGGCTTTTTTCAATTCCACGCCGTCCATTCCCCACTCCCACCCTCCATTGTACCCACGCACACCGAAAGGATATCTTCCCTCTCTTTGATGATGAGCTCATTCTGATCTCCCAGTTGTCTGATCTTCTTCTCAAAGGCCTCCTGCTCGGCTTTCAGCCGCTCCTCCGTCACCTCTTTTTCCTCGCTCACTCTGGGAAAAGGTGAAAAGGACACAGCGCACACACCATCAGACAAATACCCGGGCACCGACAGAACGCCGTGGATTTTGATCAGGACCAGCCTGAAGCCCCTCTACCGCCCACCTCCCACATTTTCACGATTCCTGCTGCTTCTGCTCGTCATAAATAGAAGGGGCCGATCAAGGGTTCGGTTTGGTTGTGTTGCTGCTGCCATTGGGGGGGGGGAGTGTGTGATTTGTATATTGTGGATATTTAATGTTGTAAGCTGCCCCAGACACTTGTGAGTTGGGAGGGGGGTGTCGTGTAAATTTGTTTAATAAATAAAGATACCGACAGAAGATCATAATTGTAACTCGGGGTTGAACTGTGTGGGGTGCTGGATGCTTTCTGAGCTTTGTTGTTTCCTTGTTGTTTCCAGCTGGCTTTTGTGACTAAGGTGGGACTAGAATTCCCCCTCTCCTGGCGACTGGCCCACCCAACTGGCTTTCATATCTAAGACAGGACTAGAACTCATAATCTTCTGGTGATTGGTCAAAAGTCAGTCAGCTTTTATGCCTAAAATGGAACTAGAACTCACCGTCTCCTGGTGACTGACCCAAAGACACCCAGCTGGCTTTTGTGCCTAAGGCAGGACTAGAACTCCCAGTCTCCTGGTGATTGGCTGAAAGTGACTCAGTTGATTTTCATGCCTTTCCAAGGCGGGACTAGAACTCCCAGTCTCCTGGTGATTGGCTGAAAGCGACTCAGTTGATTTTCATGCCTTTCCAAGGCGGGACTAGAACTCCCAGTCTCCTGGTGATTGGCTGAAAGCGACTCAGTTGATTTTCATGCCTTTCCAAGGCGGGACTAGAACTCCCAGCCTCCTGGAGATTGGCTGAAAGCGACTCAGTTGATTTTCATGCCTTTCCAAGGCGGGACTAGAACTCCCAGCCTCCTGGTGATTGGCTGAAAGCGACTCAGTTGATTTTCATGCCTTTCCAAGGCGGGACTAGAACTCCCAGTCTCCTGGTGATTGGCTGAAAGCGACTCAGTTGATTTTCATGCCTTTCCAAGGCGGGACTAGAACTCCCAGTCTCCTGGTGATTGGCTGAAAGCGACTCAGTTGATTTTCATGCCTTTCCAAGGCGGGACTAGAACTCCCAGTCTCCTGGTGATTGGCTGAAAGTGACCCAGCCGGCTTCCCAAACTGGCACCTTCCATATTGAGAGCAAGCTGCATGACGGCTGCTGGAACTATAACTCCCAGAATTTCCAGGCGCCAGGGATTCTGATCCTAAGGCATCGAGATGGTACTGGGAAGTGGAAAGTGGTTTAAGAGTCTCCTCTGGCAAAGCTCGTACTAGCATTTTTGGCTATTAGATATGTTTGCCGCCTGAAAATTTTTAATAAAAATAATAATAAAGGTGGGATAAACGTAATTTTTTTTTACCGAACTTTTTATTGAAATCAAATTAGCTGTTTTCACTCCCGTCCCTAAACTTGGATAGGTTGGCCTGAGTAAGTTGTGTAAATCCAGCTACTGTGGTATGTAAATAGTGGTGTTTTACGCTATTCAGCAATGCATGGGTGAGATAGATAGTCTGGTCTAGTAGTTACGGCATCAGGCCAAAAATCAGAAGATGGTAAATTCTACTCAGTGATGGAGTATCTACAACTTCTGCAGGCAAATCATTCTATTGATTAATTGTTCTGTCAGGAAATTTCACATCTAGATTGGATCTCTCTTTGATTAATTTCCATCCATTGCTTCTTGTCCTGCCTTCAGGCGCTTTGGAGAATAGCTTGACTGCCTCTTCTTTGTGGCAACCCCTGAGATACTGGAAGTCTGCCATCATGTCCCCCCTCGTCCTTCTTTTCATTAAACTAGACGTACCCAATTCCAGCAACTGTTCCTTATATGCTTTAGCCTCCAGTCCCCTGATCATCTTGGTTGCTCTTCTCTGCACTCTTTCCAGAGTCTCAACATCCTTTTTATATCGTGGTGACCAAAACTGGATGCAGTATTCCAAGTGTGGCCTTACCAAGGCCTTGTAAAATGGTATTAACACTTCACATGATTTTGATTCTATCCCTCTGTTAATGCAGGCTAGCACTGATGGTGAGTTCTAATCTTGCCTTAGGCAGGAAATCCAGCTTGTGATTCTCAGGCCGATCACCAGGAGATCGTGAATTCTAGTCCCACCTTAAGCATGAAAGCCGGCTGGGTGACTTTGGGCCAAACCACCGAGAGACTGCGAGTTCTAATCCCGCCTGAGGCACGAAAGCCGGATGGGTCACCTTGCACCACTCAATCTCTCTCAGCACAACTCACCTGCCAGGGTTGTTATGGTTGTGAGGAAAATAAAAGGAAAGAGTGTTAGGTAGATTCGCCACTTTGAGTTGTTTATTAAAAATAATAAAAGGCGGGATAGAAATGAAGTAAGTAAGCAAATAAGTTTGCAGCAGGGGAGACCTTTAGTCAGCTTTCTGTGATCGCTCGGAGACATTGAGTTAACACACTTTGAATAAAGAGACACTCTTCCACTTCACAAAACAATAAGTGGGAAGGAAGTTCTCACACGCAGTTTATCCTCACCTTGCAAGCTCCTTAATTAAGTTCGCGATGCGCCTTTTGTCTTCGGGGCATAAATCCTTTAAAGAAGCACTTTTCGGTTCTCCCTTGTCCGACCCCTAAAATTTAAAAAATCAACATTTACAAAAAGAACTTATTAACGTGGAAAAGAATTGACAATACATGTATTTCAAGCACGAACGGCTGCAGATTCGGCTGAAGATTCAGGCATACTTGAACAGACAAGTGGAAAGAAAAAAAGACACATTTTTACAAACAACTACGGGGATAAATTTCCCCAAATGTTGCTCTGGAAGAGTCACTGTTGGCATTTGCTTCTACAAATAAGCTTCCTCAAGGACTGGAAGGAAGGAAAAAGAGAAGGACTGTGATCTTTGCAGGGGCCTCAGAAATGGGGGTTTGGGCAGGGGGTGCAATCCTATTTTTAACCTTTGGGAATTTATCATCTGTGGCTAATACATTTTTTTTTTTTTTTTGCCAGAAGCAGCAATTGCTTCTGAAGATCTGAGGTGTTACAAGGCTTTTTGAAATGCAAATTACAACTGGAAAAAAAGGGTAAAAGTACATTTTGGATATGTAAAGAAAAAAAAATGAATGATTCAAACTCCCCAAATGACTTCCAAACAAGCTCTTATATACAGCATTTGATTGCAGGGCGAAAACCTGGGCAATTGACAAGTAAAGTTTCGTCCCATAATTCTAGCTGCAAATTCCAAAATACACTAAACGTCATTGCAACGTCCCATTCTGCTCTTGGGATGAGTCTTTAGGCCTCACACGGCCCACCAAATTGCTAGTTAGAGCATCGAAAAGCCAGAGTACCTGTAGATATCTAATATTACATACTGTATATTAACAGCAGCAAGAATTGTATTTGCCCAACATTGGAAAAATGAAAACTTACCAACTGAAGAAGTACTAATTAAGAAAATTCTAGAGTGTGCAGAAATGGATAGACTGACTTTAGAGATTAAAGAGAAAGAAGATTCAGTGTATTTGCATGGGATAATTTCTATCAATGGCTAGAAAAACGAGTCAGAGAGAAAGGGATGTGATATGTAAGTTTGAATATATATTAGCAAGAAGAAGGCAACTGAGTGATGAATTAACATATTGTTTATGATAATTAACTATATCTATTATGGTTAGTTAAATACATGTACCCAGACATTATGCTGTTTGCTAAATATTGAAAATGTTACTTGGAAAAACCCCAACCTTAACCCAAATCCCAACCCTAATCCCGACCCCACCCTATCCCTAACCCTATAAAAACTAATAAAATCTATATATATATATGTGTGTGTGTGTATGTGTGTGTGTGTGTGTGTTTTCAAAATTTGGATTGCCAACAAAGAATTAAGGGAGAACTGGAATAGCCATTTCGAACTTTTTAGTTCTTTTCAACCAGACATACCCTTCTGAGATTCGAACCTGGGCTGTCTGCATGTTAAGCAGATGTATTAACCTCTAGGCCACAGGCTCTTTCTCACTTTGTCAGCTATGAGACAGGGGAGAAGAATTATCTTGAGTTTGGTGCACCCTGTCGGCCCAAATATGGGAGAAAGGAATCTTTTGCCTGTATCAGCTCAAACTAGAACCATCCACAGGCAGCAGTCCCAACTGCGACATCATATATGTTTTCAAAATTTGGATTGCCAACAAAGAATTAAGGGAGAACTGGAATAGCCATTTCGAACTTTTTAGTTCTTTTCAACCAGACATACCCTTCTGAGATTCGAACCTGGGCTGTCTGCATGTTAAGCAGACAGCCCAGTAAAAATTAGAAAGAAAAAGGGACGATGACATCATTGGTACTCTGGCTTTATATATAAAGCCAGAGTACCAATGATGTCATCGTCCCTTTTTCTTTCTAATTTTTACTCAAAGATTTATTTGCGCTCTTGCGCCACCAGAGGGCGCTGCGCTGCCCAGCAAATTTCTGCTTGCTCCACCAACTTATAAGAAGACTTTTAACAGTTCTTAGTAACCAGATAGGAGTGTTGGAACGCAGCTAGTCCTCAACTTACAACTGAGCCTGACATTTTCACGGGTAAACAAGGCAGTCGTGAAATGAGTCGTGCCCCATTTTATGACCTCCCCCCCCTCTCCGCCAGTTCTTAAGTGGATTACCTGCTCTTTCTAGCACACTAAAAACTTGGCCGATGGCAGGATCTCCATCGTCGGCCTGGCGCCTTGCTGGCATCCTGCCCTCAAAGGGGAAGGGGGGGGAAGGCCTTTGGGGCAAACTACACCTGTGTATCTCATGATGGGAAATGGGGAGAGGGGAGCTGACACGTGAAAAAAAGACCAGAGCATTTTGTATGCCGAGCATCTTTCAGGTGGCTTGCCCTGGCTGTGAAATTCCAGCAGCCTAAACAACCCAGAGTTTCCCACAACACTGCGGCAATCCTGGATTGGGTGGCAGCAGACCGGACATTGGGGGGGTGGGGGGGTGGGATGGGGAAACGGTGGGCTTGGGTCTTTGTATCGCTGAGCAGGAAATTCAGTTTCCTCCTGGCCTTCGTAAAAGTCCTTTTCACTCCATCAGTTGGAGCTGAGGACCGGCTTCCTTAAACGATTGTTCTGGGGCAGGTCTGACAGCTGGAGTATAAAGGTTTTGGGGTTTTTTTAAAATTTTGAGGGGAGGTCCTGCTTTTCATGGTTCCATATATCCATAGGGGCTTGATAGTCATCCTGAGTTCTATTGCACAAGAGGGGTGGCCATATAAATCTTATAAATCAACAAACTAAAATGCCTAGGGAACTGGAGGCTAAAACATATAAGGAACGGTTGCTGGAACTGGGTATGTCTAGTTTAATGAAGAGAAGGACGAGGGGGGACACGATAGCAGCGTTCCAGTATCTCAGGGGCTGCCCCAAAGAAGAGGGAGTCAAGCTATTCTCCAAGGTGCCTGAAGGCAGGACAAGAAGCAACGGATGGAAACTAATCAAGGAGAGAAGCAATCTAGAACTAAGGAGAAACTTCCTGACAGAACAATTAACCAGTGGAACAACCTGCCTCCAGAAGCAGTGAATGCTCCAACACTGGAAGTTTTTAAGAAAAGACTGGACAGCCGTTTGTCTGAAATGGTGTAGGGTTCCTGCCTGGGCAGGGGGTTGGACTCGATGACCTCCAAGGTCCCTTCCAACTTTATTATTATTATTATTATTATTATTATTATTATTATTATTATTATTATTATTATTATTATTATTATTATTATTATTATTATTATTATTATTATTATTATTATTATTAGGCAAGTCCTGCTGTAAATAACAGAATAACAAAGTTGGAAGGGATCTTGGAGGTCAAGTTCAACTCCCTGCTCAAGCAAGAGACCCTGTCCCATGTCAGACGTTGTCCAATCTTTTCTTGAAGGTGACCCCTTTCTTCTTTGTGGCAGCCCTTCAAATACTGGAACACTGCTATCATGTCGTCCCCCCTCGTCCTTCTCTTCGTTAAACTAGACAGACCCAATTCCAGCAACCGTTCCTTATATGTTTTAGCCTCCAGTCCCCTAATCATCTTTGTTGCTCTTCTCTGCACTCTTTTTAGACTCGTCTCAACATCTTTTTTACATCGTGGTGACCAAAGCTGCATGCAGTACTCCAAGTGTGGCCTTACCAAGGCCTTGTAAAGCGGTATTAACCCTTCACATGATCCTCGCGTGCCTGGCTGAGGAATTCTGGGAGTTGAAGTCCACAAGTCATAAAAGGGTCAAGTTTGAAGAACCCTGGGTTAGACAAATCTCATCAACGGCATCTTTCTGGCTTGTTGCTATTTCTTTCAAAGACTTCAAAAGGGAACAAACGTTAACATTTCCAGCCGACTTTGGAATAGATACCAGCGATCAACTTGCACGCAGGGAAGATTCGGGCCACCCCAAGGCCGACGGAGAATTTCATTTCCTTTGATTTTTTTTTTTTAATTTACAACAGCCTTTTCACTCAAACTGCTTCAAATCAAGAGCTCTGGGGTTTTTAACCTGCTCAAATTCTCTATATGTTTTTTTTTTCTTCTTTTTTTAAAAAGACAAGCCGGTTTCCAAGGCTCCGGGCTCACCGTTTGGGGTGCGCGTGCCGTGACACCATGCTCCTCTGTTAACAGAAGACACCGGCAGCTCCCTTTTGCCCCTTGTGAGTCCAAGAATTTCGACACACAATTGCCCCAGGTGAAGGATCACGTCAGGGTTTCTGTTTTGGCGACTTGGGTTTCGGGTGCACTTAAGCCAAGCAGATGCTTCTCAAAACACCCGGTAAACCCGCAATTAGAACTCAGGAACTGTTGGGTTCCTAACGCAACACTCGGCACACCTGAGCGCAGAAAGAAAAACACAGTCTGCAGGAGAAGATAAGCACCTTCCCCTGCTGAGATTCACTTAGCCCCAGGCCTCTTGGCATTTTGCAAATCCCTGAAGCCCGGATGTTCCCTGGAGGTTGGCTGAGCCTGTTGATGGGATTTTTCTCAGCAGGGTTTAAGTTTGCATGAATGGGCACACTGGCTGAGGAATTCTGGGAGTTGAAGTCCACAAGTCATAAAAGGGCCAAGTTTGAAGACCCCTGGTATAGGGTCTCCTGCTTCAGCACAGGGCTAGACTAGAACAGGGCTTTTCAACCAGTGGTACGGGTACCACCTGTGGTACATTGGCACCTGGGAGGTGGTATGCGACCATCCCAGAAAAATGGTAGCAGGGGAGGGGAATGAGCTGAACCAGTGGCAGCACCGCACAAGCCTGAGCGAGAGATGGCTGGAGCTGCAGGGCTGTCAGGACTCAGCAGAAGCGCCAGGATCAGCTCTTCTTCGGGGTTGTCAGGACTCAGCGGAAGCACCAGGATCAGCGCAAGGCTCCAGCTGGAGCTCGGCGCTGATCCTGGTGCTTCTGCTGAGCCCAGAAGAAGCACCAATCAGCTGGAGCTCAGCACTGATCCTGGCACTTCTGCTGAGCCCTGAAGAAGCGCCGATCAGCTGGAATGTTGCAGCCTCTCCAGGGTCTTGTGATTTACATTCAGATGCTTGGCAACTGATTCATATTTATGACGGTCACAGTGTCCCGGGGTCATGTGAAGGGACCAAAACCTGCTGCAACCACCCAGCAGATGGGGGGAATAAAAATCAAACACCCCCCCACCCCACCCCCGCTGCCAATCCTCAACAGAAATGCTCACAACAATGAAAACCTCGGACAGGAGGAAGAGCGCCGCCGGGCGGGCAGGCAGGTGTCTTGCTCGGCTGTGGCTTGGGGGGCACTTTTTTCAGTGCCACTGTAACTTCGAACAGTCACTAAGCGAACTATTGTAAGTCGAGGACTACCTGTACTTTATCCCTTTTTTTCTTTTTTGGGGGGGTCATGAAGTTTTTGACACCTTGCTAGGCGACTGGTGGTCCTCGGATGTTGCTATATCCTAAAAGTGGTACAATGGGTGAAAAGGTTGAAAAGCCCTGGACTAGAAGACCTCCAAGGTCCCTTCCAGCCCATTGGTCACCAGATATCCAGGAACTCCCACCCCTAGCATGGTCCTTGTTGACCCAAGTGATGACCAATCCGGCATTAGTTTTTGCAAATAACGTTCCACCCATATTTTTTATGGGAGAGACGCTCTTTGTCTGACTCCTCCGATGAGATCTGTTCAGTAGGGTGGAACCTCTGGCCTAGCTCTCATCTTCATCAGAGCACACAAGCCCCATGACCACATTAAGGGAGTGCCTCCCTGAGGGAATCTCTCATTATTATATTTTTAACTCCTGTTGTTATTTACGTCTTTTATTATTACTTATTACTGCAACTTACATGACCCTTCACCACATATTCATGATGCTGGATGGGTAACGACAGTAAAAAAAAACAAACCTCATAAAAAAGACAACTATGAAAAAAAGCACACAAGTAATCAACAGAATTAAAAAAAAATCACAGAGAGAACCAGTAACAACAAATCAACATGCCCACCTCTGCCATATTACTGGATGCTATGCATGGTTGACAAATCTGCATCTGAAAGGCCTTGCAAAAAGCCTGTAACAGGATCACAGAGCTGGAAGGGACCTTGAAGGTCTTCCAGTCCAACCCTTCCCCTCCCCAAAGAAACTCTATACTAGGGATAGGCAACTTTGGCTCTTTTATGACTCGTGGACTTCAACTCCCAGAATTCCTGAGCCAGCATGGCTCAGCTTGGATAGCTCTCCCTTTCCCCTCAGCGTGGCTGGCTCAGGAATTCTGGGAGTTGAAGTCCACGAGTCCTAAAAGAGCCAAGGTGGCCTACCCCTGCTCTATACCATTTCAGACAAATGGCTGTCTGGTCTCTTCTTCAAAGTGATGGGTCCCTCGCAACTTCTGGAGGCAAGCCGTTCCGCTGGTTGATTGTTCTCAATGTCAGGAAATTTCTCCTTAGATCTTAAGTTGGTTCTCTCCTCGATTAGTTTTCACCCGTTGCTTCTTGTCCTGCCTTCAGGTGCTTTTTGGTTGACCCCCCTCTTCTTTGTGGCAGCCCCTGAGATACTGGAAGACTGCTATCACGTCACTCCTAGTCCTTCTTTTCATTAAACTAGACATGTACAATCCCTGCAACCGTTGTTCGTATGTTTTCGCCTCCAATCCTCTGATCAACTTTGTTGCTCTTCTCTGTACCCTTCCCAGAGTCTCAACATCTTTTTGATATCGTGACGACCAAAATTGGATGCAATATTAGAAGTGTGGCCTTACCAAAGCATAATAAAGGGGTAGAAACCCCTGTAGGATCGGGGTCAATCTAATAGCTGGGGAAGGGAATGGTCTTCCAAAAAGGGGTACACTCTTCCTGCCCCGACTCCAATGGGACTCCATTAACAGACAGGACTCGAAGCATGCTTGTCCTGGCAGATCTAAAGGCCATAAAGCAGTGATGGCGAACCTTTTAGAGCAGTGTTCTCAACCTTTTTAATGCCGTGACCCCCAACTGGTCGTAAGTCGAGGACTAAACCGGTCGTAAGTCGAGGACTAAACTGGTCGTAAGTCGAGGACTTTCCCTGCCCGGGAGCCCCACGCATGTGTGGTTCCGCCCCCTGCGCCGGCCGAGGCGTAGCTGGCAAGCGGCAGAGACGGAGCAGGCCGACCACCAGCTGGCCCAGCACAAGGGAGGTAAGGCACCCGCCGGAGAAGGGGGAAAAAAAATGGCGGACAGCCTTGCTTGGCGACCCCCTTGAAATGGTCGATCGACCCCAAATGGGGTCGCGACCCATAGGTTGAGAACCGCTGTTTTAGAGACCGAGTGCCCAAACCGCAACCCCAAACCCACTTATTTATCACAAAGTGCCAGGGCCACATCAGCATTGTGATGCCCTCATGGGGGGGGGCAGGGTGGCGCCTCTGAACGCCACCTCTGGCACGCAAAAACTGGGGGCACAAAAATGGGCCACCATGCTGCAAGGCGCAAAAACCAGACGTGCCGTGGGGTGCAGATACAAGGCGCTGCACCATGCAAGAACGGAGCAGGGATAGTATCACGCAGGCACTAGCCCCGCCCCATTTGCAGCACGTTTGTGCTCGCGGCCCCGTGCATGCATGCATGCATGCATGTAAAATGCTTCCCCCTCCTAATGGTTGGTGACCTCTGCTCTACCACCTCTACTCAAGCTTGCTAGTCGGTCGCTTCACTGTGCTGGGCGAGGCTCCTGCTCTGGGCAGCAGTGGTGGCCTGATGCACCTGCTGCTGGTGGCGGTGGCGCGTGTGCCAACAGAGAGGGCTCTGAGTGCCGCCTTTGGCACGCATGCCATAGGTTCACCACCACTGCCATAAAGGTTTGTGTATAACAGAATACTAGAGTTGGAAGGGACCTTTGAGGTCTTCTAGTCCAACCCCCTGCTCGAGCAGGAAACCCCCATCCCATTTCAGACCATCGCTTCTTAAAAAACCTCCAGGGATGGAGCACCCACCACTTCTGGAGGCAAGTCGTTCAGAATTGGAGACGGCTGGTCCTTCAAATACGCCACCCGACTCCCGCTAATGTTGAGTGGCTAGCTGCACAAGCCCACCACGTGGGCAAACGTGAGCCGCGGTGTCCTCCTGCTGCTGCTCTAACAGGAAAAGCCCAACCCACCTGCTGCCCAGCTTCTTCTCCAATCCTTTTCAGGACCTCCATTGGGGCCGGATTCAAATCCACAGCTGCTCTGGCCTTCGCTGCGGTCTTCTGCCCTTTCCGCAGTTGCCTGGGTCTCAAATTCCTCTCGTCAGAAACTCCTGCAGATTGAACGAAGAAGAAGACCAGGAAGTTTTCCAGTTGTTCTTACGAGGCGTCTCCCTCAACTTTTCCAGTGAAAAGGAGGAACTACAAAAACAATAAAACGTTCACCGGAAATCTCATATATCTCATCTCCTCTCATCTCTCTCTCTCTCTCTCTCTTTCTGTTTTTCCTACTTCTCTTTTTCCTTTTTTTCTTTCTCTCTCTTTTGCCTTCCCTGCTTCTGTCTCTCATTTTGTTTCTCTCTCTCGTTTTCCGTTTCTCTTTTTCCTACTTCTCTGTCATTTTCCATTTTTTTCTCTTTTGCTTTCCCTGTTTCTCTCTCTCTTGCTTTCCCTGCTTCTCTCTATTTCCTGTTTTGTTCTCTCTTTCTCATTTTCCCTGTTTGTTTTTCCTATTTCTCTCTATTTTCTATTTTTCTTTCTCTCTTTTGCTTTCCCTGATTCTCTCATTTCCTGTTTCTTTTTCCATTTCTGTTTTTCCTACTTCTCTCATTTTCTGTTCTTCCTCTTTTGCTTTCCCTGCTTCTCTCTCATTTCCTGTTTCTCTCTTTTTCCATTTGTTTTTCCTACTTCTCTCTTTTTCCTTTCTTTTTTGCTTTCCCTGCTTCTCTCTCTCATTTCATGTTTCACTCTGTTTTTCCTACTCTCATTTTCCCTTCTCTCTCTCTCTCTCTCTCTCTCTCTCTTTCTCTCACTCACACACACAACCACACAAACCGATTTATCACACATTTAGGCTTTTCAAGATTCCCATAAAGGCAACACTGTAAAATTTATTTGTTAAAGATTTATTGGCTTTTGATTGTTATCGCACCTGGCGCTTTTCAATACTTCTCTTCATAAAGATAAGTTCGATTAATTTATGGACCAAGCTCACATAATTTTTAATTACTCACCTCAAGAGTTGTTTAATCAACGTCACAATGTTATGTGCTAATGTTGGGTTTAGCTACTATCTTTCCTTCTGCTATTTTTAAAATTGGAAATTGTCTGGAATCTTTCCAAGCAAGCCACATACCAGGAGAAGGGAGGGGTGAGGTGAGGTGGGATCAGATGGACTGGAATGGACTGGACAAGACAGGGATGGGAGGGATGAACTGGGATGGACAGGACAGGGATGGATGAACTGGAATTGACTGGGATGGACAGGACAGGGATGAGATGGATGGACTGGGATGGACAGGATAGGGATGGGATGAACTGGGATGGACTGGGATGGACAGGACAGGGATAAGATGAATGGGATGGACAGGGATGGGATGGGACGGATGAACTGGAATTGACTGGGATGGACAGGACAGGGATGGGATGAACTTGGATGGACAGGGATGGGATGAGACAGATGAACTGGAATTGACTGGGATGGACAGGACAGGGATGGGATGAACTGGGATGGACAGNGCATTTTGCAAATCCCTGAAGCCCGGATGTTCCCTGGAGGTTGGCTGAGCCTGTTGATGGGATTTTTCTCAGCAGGGTTTAAGTTTGCATGAATGGGCACACTGGCTGAGGAATTCTGGGAGTTGAAGTCCACAAGTCATAAAAGGGCCAAGTTTGAAGACCCCTGGTATAGGGTCTCCTGCTTCAGCACAGGGCTAGATTAGAACAGGGCTTTTCAACCAGTGGTACGGGTACCACCTGTGGTACATTGGCACCTGGCAGGTGGTACGCGACCATCCTAGAAAAGTGGGTAGCGGGGGAGGGGAATGAGCTGAACCGGTGGCAGCACCACACAAGCCTGAGCGAGAGATGGCTGGAGCTGCAGGGCTGTCAGGGCTCAGTGGAAGCGCCAGGATCAGTGCCAGGCTCCAGCTGGAGCTTGGCGCTGATCCTGACGCTTCTGCTGAGCCCAGAAGAAGCGCCAATCAGCTGGAATGTTGCAGCCTCTCCAGGGTCTTGTGATTTACATTCAGATGCTTGGCAACTGATTCATATTTATGACGGTCACAGTGTCCCGGGGTCATGTGAAGGGACCAAAACCTGCTGCAACCACCCAGCAGACAGGGGGAATAAAAACCAAACACCCCCCCACCCCACCCCTGCTGCCAATCCTCAACAGAAATGCTCACAACAACGGAAACCTCGGACAGGAGGAAGAGCGCCGCCGGGCGGGCAGGCAGGTGTCTTTCTCGGCTGTGGCTTGGGGGGCACTTTTTTCAGTGCCATTCTAACTTCAAACAGTCAGTAAGCAAACTGTTGTAAGTCGAGGACTACCTGTACTTTATCACTTTTTTCCTTTTTTTTTTTTGGTCATCAGGTTTTTGACACCTTGCTAGGCGACTGGTGGTACTCGGATGTTGCCATATCCTAAAAGTGGTACAATGGGTGAAAAGGTTGAAAAGGTTGAAAAGCCCTGGACTAGAAGACCTCCAAGGTCCCTTCCAGTACTATTCTGATTAATTGCAGCCCATTGGTCACCAGATATCCAGGAACTCCAACCCCTAGCATGGTCCTTGTTGACCCAAGTGATAACCAATCCGGCATTGGTTTTTGCAAATAACGTTCCACCATATTTTTTATGGGAGAGACGCTCTTTGCCTGACTCCTCCGATGAGATCTGTTCAGTATGGTGGAACCTCTGGCCTAGCTCTCATCTTCATCAGAGCACACAAGCCCCATGACCACATTAAGGGAGTGCCTCCCTGAGGGAATCTCTCATTATTATATTTTTAACTCCTGTTGTTGTTTACGTGTTTGATTATTACTTATTACTGCAACTTACATGACCCTTCACCACAAATTCATGATGCTGGATGGGTAACGACAATTAAAAAAAAAACCTCATAAAAAAGACAACTATGAAAAAAAAGCACACAAGTAATCAACAGAATTAAAAAAACACAGAGAGAACCAGTAACAACAAATCAACGTGCCCACCCCTGTATAGGCTCTGCCACATTACTGGATGCTATGCATGGTTGACAAATCTGCATCTGAAAGGCCTTGCAAAAAGCCTGTAACAGGACTACAGAGCTGGAAGGGACCATGAAGGTCCTCTAGTCCAACCCTCCCCACCCCAAAAGAGACTCTATACCAGGGATAGGCAACTTTGGCTCTTTTATGACTCGTGGACTTCAATTCCCAGAATTCCTGAGCCAGCATGGCTCAGCTTGGAAACCTCTCCCTTTCCCCTCAGCATGGCTGGCTCAGGAATTCTGGGAGTTGAAGTCCACGAGTCATAAAAGAGCCAAGGTTGCCTACTCCTGCCCTATACGATTCCAGACAAATGGCTGTCTGGTCTCTTCTTCAAAGTGATGGGTCCCTCACAATGTCTGGAGGCAAGCCGTTCCGCTGGTTGATTGTTCTCAATGTCAGGAAATTTCTCCTTAGATCTTAAGTTGGTTCTCTCCTCGATTAGTTTCCACCCGTTGCTTCTTGTCCTGCCTTCAGGTGCTTTTTTGGTTGACCCCCCCCTTCTTTGTGGCAGCCCCTGAGATATTGGAACGCTGCTATCACGTCACTCCTAGTCCTTCTTTTCATTAAACTAGACATGTACAATCCCTGCAACCGTTCTTCGTATTTTTTAGCCTCCGATCCTCTGATCAACTTTGTTGCTCTTCTCTGTACCCTTCCCAGAGTCTCAACATCTTTTTGATGTCGTGACGGCCAAAATTGGATGCAATACTGCAAGTGTGGCCTTACCAAGGCATAGTAAAGGGGTACAAACCCCTTGTTCTATCCCAGCCTATTGCCGTCCTTGTTAGAGGCACAAGGAAACAAACCCCTGCTGATACAATAGGCTGGAGACTTTAAAACAAAACAAAATCCCTTTTATTTGGGTGACAAACCTGTCAATAAGTCCAAAACACAAACAGCAAAACTCAAGTCCAAAGGAAGGAAATAGTCCACAGGAACACGTTGCAAACAAGACGAACAGACCAGGATTCCAAGAAGCACTGTGCAAACGGTTGCCTTCAGCAACCAGCACCGCCCACACCTCCCCTTTTTATACAGCAATCCCAGGGTGTTGCCTCTCATTGCCTTCTCCGTTTACTTTGGAGTTGTCGCATAGACTGCTGTTGTTTTTCTCTTGCTAATTGACGACGCCTGCGAGCATCAATTAGCACATCCAGGTGTGAGCCTTCCGAATCTGACTCA